CAATCTTTCTCTCTCTTCTTTCTTGTCCCTGTTTGTATTATTACTTTTCTTTTTTTTTTTTTCTCTCTTGTGCAAGAAGAAACCTATAAGCTATTCGTTCGAATGCGATGCATAATCAAGAAAAGAAAACGAAGGAGGAAAAAAAAAAAAGAAGGAGATTAAAATCTCTCTCTGTCTCTCTCAACCTCTATTTCTTTCGGATGAACCGAACCTATTAGAAACGAGCTATACTTTTAATGATGTTGTTCGACACGCCAGTCAAACAAGATGATGATGATGATGATGATGGTGTAGTTATGTTATTCTTTTCTTATTTGCTTTTCGCAATTGGTTGACGAGAAAAATATACAATAACGAATCAGAATAGTCATTAAAAGAAAAAAAAAAAAAAAACACATACATCCAATCAAGATATGTACGTGTCCATGAATTCCTTTTCTGTTTTTTTTTGCTTGCTTGCCTACTTTCTTTCTTTTATTTTGAAGTACAAGTAACACTTGAATTAGTAACAAGCTCTTTTCAATTCTTTTTTTTTTATTCTTTTGTGTCAATAGCATATTTACTGATATCATCTATTTAATTCTGCAAGAGTATTTGTTTGTATAGTCGAAGTTTTTTTAAAAGATTTTTTTTTTTTTTTGTATTCATTAAAAAGTCAATAGTATGATTATCTCTATTGAATCGTTTACATATTTGCTGATGATGTCAATAATAACAATAATATAGCTGACTTTTCACGTGTAAAGGCGGGAATAGAAATAAGATCGAATTGCACAAGTTGATTAGCCGCTTTTTCTCCTTTTGTTTTTCAATACATCATAATCATTCATTTACGATTGATTAGTTTAAACTAAAGGAATATACGTAAAGATGTATTGGAAATGTTCAAAAGAAATACTCAAGCTTTATTAATTGAAAACAAATGGTATCGACTTACTTGATGATTTATAAATGCAGAGTAGAACAAAAAATTATATGTATATAAGAAATGAGAGAAAGCAGGAGATTTTATAGTTTTGAAAAAAAAAACATAATCGAAATAGGTTTCACACATCAACTTGATATATATCAATGATTTGAGTTTGATGTTCGTTTTCTTTTTACGTTAAGAAAGAAACGAAGATGAATATTTTAAAGGTTTCTTTCCTCTTCAAAAAAAAAAAAAAAAATAATCATCATGATCATCCGAATATATATATATTTTTTTTCTCCACTGAAATTAAGTAACATTTCTCATCTTTATAATATCAAAAGGCTTTTTTTTTTTTTTTACATAGTTTTACAACACTTACAATTTGTTATTCAAAGATGATTGTTAAGATTTCATCAAAAATTCATCATCTAACTCTTTTCTTTTTTGTTTTGTTCCTCTCTATGTTCAAGAGTATTTGCTCTTCTTTGTACATTTGACAATCTCTTTTGTTTAAAATGCATTCTGTCAAGTACAAATACAATAGTATGGCTCTGTTTTTGTTTCTCTTCATTTTATACGAGTCCCTAGTGCGCATGCGCTTTGACTTTGAACATGAAATAAATATATATATATATGTATAAAAAAAAAAAAGAAGACGTGCCGTTTCCATCTTCACAAATTCATTATCGATTGCGATCGATCGGATGCATAAAAACAAAAAAAACTAAGAATAATACAAATATATTTATTGATTTGAGATTAATGCTGAGAATGATTCTTCAAATAACAAAAGGACATTCAATTAGAGACATGTACGTGTAAGAACAGATATCACTGCTAGAAGGGTATATATATATAGATCAAGAATGATTATTGTAAAAATAAACAATAATCGATCAATTCATATTATTTTAAGAGTATATATAAAAGCTGCACCTGTGTTAGTATTTTTAAAATGCTGCTTACCTTGTTGTTGGATTTCGTAAATGATATGTAAATTCATTATCAAGATATAATTTTGGATGAAAATAATTTGTCATGTTCTTGCTTCTTATTTTTTTTGTAAACTAATGAATGTGTAACAACGTTTTTTTCATTTTGATCGAATGATGATGATGATGAAGAGCTTCTTGTATAATTTTTTTTTTTTTTTAAAATTTTATTGAAACCTTAGTCTATCATCGTTGTTGGAAAGAATCGATGATACCATTTAAGTTCATTTCATCTGCGTTAAAAAGTAATTGACCAAATGAAAAAAAAAAACGAAGAAGAACACATAATACACAAGAAAAAAAAAAGAAAAATTACAAGACTTTTTCTAATAACTTGATGATTTGATATAGTTTTTCGTTTCTTTTTTTTTTTTTTTTTTGAATTCTCTTATTTCAAAGTCAATCCATTTGCAGAATAAACAATTTTATATATTGAGAGGTGCTATTGACTAAGCATACATACACACATATATATATGTATATACGAAGGTTTAGCATTATCGTCAACAGAAGCCAATAATAACAACTAAAACAGAATATATATATATAGTAGACTACCAGACACCTTATCATGAGTATATAGTATTGCGCATTGAAATAGCATGCAATAGTAGAAGAAGAAGAAGAAAAAAAAGAAATCAGTCATTGCAGGACTTCATCAACTCAATTTGATGTATATGCTATCGACAACATAAGTACATTTGACTAGAAGAAAAATGATTACTTCGACTTGTGCTTCTTAATTTCAATGCATCTGATTGTCTTCTATAAATGATGAAATATTAATTATAATAATATAGATAGAAATAGAAAGATTATTATATTCATGTCAACATTATCAAATATTCGAAAAGAAAAATTATTTATTGTTGTTTTTATTGATTAACTTTTTTTTTTTTTTTGTTTTACAAATAAAAATAACATTATGATTAAGCTGTATGTTTTCATTTGTATTTTATTTTGTTGATATGATCCATCATCGAATTTTCAAGATATATATATATATATTTCATTTGATAGTATACATTCTCTTATAGCAATGCAAATATTTCTTATTGCGATGGGATAAATTCATATTGAATTTTCAAAAGGATTATAATATGATTATACAATTGAAATTTAAGAAATCTAATAGTATATATTTTCTTTAACTACTGTCTATATAATGATGCATTCTTTTAATATGAGACAAAAGAATTATCAGTTTTGAATATGAAAAAAAATTATAAAATTCTTTTTTTTATTTGCATCATTTCAATAGTAGAAAAAGACAAAGTTTTATTTCTAGTTTCAATGACTCATAATCATTGTATAGAGCTTCATAAAAATGAAAATATGGTTTTCTTTTATAATAATAAAATATTACAATCAATTACTACACTTCAATGTAAAGTGTTAACTCATTTATTTTGATGTGTTTGAAATTCCTATATATGTATATAAGCTACATTTTGTGATTGATCGTTTTTTTCATAAAAAAAAAAACAAAAATTTCGTAATAAATCATATTTAATTATTAATGTCAGTAACTAATTATGAATTAGAGAAATTTTTGGAAGATTTGTTAAAATATAAAACAACTATCATTTTTGCATATTTTTAAACTACAAGAAAGATGAATGTTTTACATAGAACGTGAACGAGATTGAACAATGTAAAGAATAATCGAACTGAACTTTATATTCATTTCAAAAGATGTTTTTGATAGTATAAATATTTTTAAAGAATTGAGAAATTTGTCTTTATTTCTTAAGGTAACTTTTTCTATCATTATTCTTTTAATCTACTTTTTAATTACAATTTCTCTCTGCCAAGTAATTTAAGAGAAAAATTTGATTCAAAACATTAATTCATACAAATCAACGGATTCTTTTTTATTGTTTGTTTCGTTTTTGACTATGAAAAATTGCTGCGAACATGTCTTCCGTAATGAGATTTTAAAGTATCAAAACATAAAGCTTGAGATGATCTTTATTCTATTATTAATAGAATATTTTTGATAGAAATTCAACATTTGAAAACTGTACTATAAGTGTGAAAGTATTAGTTAGATATCGATTAGCTTCAATCCGGATTCAATTACAAAAAACCATATCCGGGTGTAGAACAAATGGTGCGACATCGGAATAATGCAGAAAGTATATTTTCATTAACAGTTTTGATATTCAATTCAATCAAATTTTTCTATCCCTTACCCAGATCAAACAATCAGACAGTAAGATCTTACAAGGTACGATTTCGTAAGATCAGATGAAAATCGTCGTCTAAGAATTCTGTTGATCCATGGTACTATAAGATTCTCAGAAAGACCCTGTTACCGTGTAAGATCTTTCACAAATCTAATAGTATGAACTGATGCAAGATTTCTTAGACTACGATTTTTTTGTCAGATTCTTGTAAGATTTCGTCTAGATTGCAAGATCTTACACGCAGCTTTTCCGACCTGGGTATTGATGCTTTCTAACATACGTATGAGAGTTATATAATTGTTAAATTGGTTTTTGTGAATTACGAAATTCTTCTTTTTACAAATAGTGAATAATTTTCAATTTTCTAGTATTCATTATTATGGAAAACTAGAGGAAGCATGATAATAGTACTACACTTACGTATACTTCAGAGTTATTTTTTTATTTTATCAGGGGCGGCGCGAGCTGAGGATACCCCCTGGTTTTGAAAATTTTCGTTTTTTTTTGCTCAACGATTATCTCAAAATTTGATTTTCTTCCATTTTTCGAAGGTACCCCCGCCCTGCTTTGACCTCTTCGCGCCGCCCCTATATTCTATTCTTATTCAATTAAATAAAAATCACTTTGTATTTTTTGTTCTCTACTTATTTACTGAATCAAAATAATTATATTAAACTTTTTTTGAATAGTCTTCCCAATGGAATTTGATCCTAACTTTTCATTTAATACATTTGTAGTATTTGTTACATAGATGTCACTATTCAACTAAGCTGAATCGGTGATATTCTTATTATTCTTTACCTAATACCTACCAATAAAATGCTTCTGCTTTATTTTCTGAATAATAAAGCAGCACGTACATAGGTAAAAATTAGAATTTATATTTCATTACCGTAAAATTTTACAATGGTGACTCTAAAAGAGAATGTAGATGGTAAAAAAAGAAAAATTTCTTGAAAAATATTCTTGAATATATTTTCATTTATTCATAGTTGAATTTGAGGATAATATAGAAGAAAAAGCAATTAATGAAGAATATAAAATCTGGAAAAAGAATGCACCATTTCTATATAATCTTGTTATAACTCATGCACTTGAATGGCCTAGTTTAACAGCACAATGGTTACCACATGTTCGAACGTATGAAAATTTATTTATTTTTTAATATCTAAAAAGTTTGTTTTTTTTCTTAATAGGGAAGAAGGTCGAGATTATAATACACATCGTTTAATACTTGGTACACATACATCCGATGAACAAAATCATCTTGTTATAGCTAGTGTACAATTACCAAAAGAAGATTTTGAATTAGATGCATCTCATTATGATAATGATAAAGCTGAATTAGGTGGTTTTGGTTTAATTAATGGTCGTATTGAAGTTGATGTTAAAATAAATCATGAAGGAGAAGTTAATCGTGCACGTTATATGCCACAAAATCCTCAAATAATTGCAACTAAAACACCTGTATCAGATGTATTAATATTTAATATTGATACACATCCATTAGGTAAAGAACAAATTGGTGTATGTAATCCTGAATTACGTTTAAAAGGTCATACAAGAGAAGGTTATGGTTTATCATGGAATTCAAATTCGAATGGATATTTACTTAGTGGAGCTGATGATAATACTGTTTGTTTATGGAATATAAATATGCAACCAACACAAGGAAAAAATTTAGATGCTTTATCAATTTATACTGGACATACAATGGTTGTTGAAGTATGAAAAGATTTTTTAATAAATAATAGAAAAAATCAATTTATGACAAAACAGAAAAATGATGCTATGATATTTGTAAAATTCTATTGATGAAAAAAGAAATATTTCTAAAATATTCATCAAGATTTCTAATTACATAAAAAGAAAAAAAACAATGCTCTAGTTTTTAAAACACTTATGAATGAGAAAATATTGAAATAGAGATTAAATTAATGTTTGTTTTAAGAATTTTACTCTAGAAATTGATTATCATTAATGATACAATCTATTTACGAAATTCGAGTTCTTTTGAATTCATCTTTCAATTATAATGAGATAATAAAATGAATTTCAATTTCGATTCGAGATTTCATTTACTAATCTATCTCTTCGGGAAAATATATATATGCATTTAGAAAGCTTTCATTATTATCGTTCAAGCCTGTGACATATCGTCAAGATCTGTACGCACTGAGATAGTAAATTCGTGTCGTAGTACTAATTTAACTTCATTCAGTATTGAGACTCTAAAACTTTCAGAACGTATATTATCATTTCATAAGAAATTTCCTACTAAAATTTTCCAATGAATTAGTCAAAGTTATTGTAGAAAAGATTCATTTTCGTAGCATTTGCTTTTCAATAGACGTTTTTAATGCGTAGACAATATCTCGGTTATTTCAAAGTCGTTTCTATAAACAAAAAATTTGGACTAGAGCTAACTACAGCATTGAGTATACATTGAACATGTCATCATCATATCATAAAAACATACTAGCACTTTCTGAAGGATCGCTACTTTTATTGAGAATGATATATCCTTAAACTAAAATCAAAAATTAATAATACATCATCAATGAGACATAAAATTATTTAGTTTTAATCTTCTCCTAATTAAATTCAAAATATATTTTGTCATAGGATGTTGCATGGCATTGTAGACATCCGACAATATTTGGTTCTGCTGGTGATGATCAAAAATTAATGATGTAAGTATTTAATTATTGTCATATGATTTATATATATATATATATTTGTTTTTTACAGTTGGGATACAAGATCAAATAATTATTCAAAAGCTAGTCATATAGTAGATGCACATGCAGCTGAAGTTAATTGTGTAATTAATAATTATTTAATTTATAATAAATTTATATTTTTATATTTTAGCTTGCATTTAATCCATTTTCGGATTATATTCTTTTAACTGGTTCAGCTGATAGAACACTTGCTTTATGGGATTTAAGAAATTTAAAAACTAAAATAGCAACATTTGAATCTCATAAAGATGAAATTTTTCAAGTAAATTGAAAAAAAAATTTTTTATTTTATTCTTTCATTTATTTTATGCTTTTAGACACATTGGTCACCACAAAATGAAACTATTTTTGCATCAAGTGGTTCAGATCGACGACTTCATATATGGGATTTAAGGTAAATATTTAAAATTGAATTTTTTTTTTTGCAATATTAAAATATTTAGTCGAATTAATCAACCACAAACACCAGCTGAAGCAGAAGATGGTCCACCAGAACTTTTAGTAGCAAAAAAAAATTTATTGATTTTCTTATTTTTATTTTACATATATATTCATTTTAGTTTATTCATGGTGGTCATGCAGCTAAAATTTCTGATTTTTCATGGAATCCAAATGAACCATTTGTTATATGTTCTGTATCGGAAGATAATATGGCTCAAATTTGGCAAATTGTAAATTTATATATATTTTAATAACAATCAATTTAAAAATATTTTTTGTATTATAGGCTGAACATGTTTATAATGATGATATTACTTTGGATAATATAGATGGTGATCGAGGAGAAATTTCACCAACATCAATCAATCAAACGTCCATAAATGGATCTTAAAAAATAATAGTTGTTTTTTGTTTTGTCTAATAGATACATTTCTTAAAATGTTTTCTGTTTGTGTATTGAAAAAAAAAATATGATTAATTAAAATAAAATCATTTTTGTCGTTGTTTTATTGTAACATTCAAGAATATCAATTTGAAGTTTTTTTTTTCGTAATTCAGAAGTAAATAGCATATATATGTTGTAGGCAAAATTGAAATTCAGGCAAATTTAAAATTTGCCTAGGCAAAATTGAAATTTTAATTTTGCCCAGTCAAAATTAAAATTTCAATTTTGACTAGACATTGCTTGGGCAGAATTGAAACTTCAATTTTGCCTAGGCAAAATTAAAACATAGCTAGGAATAAATTTATACAGTGAAAAAATTAAAATCTGAATAGAAAAACTTTATTATTGAAAAATATTTCTTCATTTAATTAAACAATTCCAAGAGAATACAGTTCAACAAAATCTTTTAATCTATTTACCCATATTAGTCTCTTTTATTTTTGATAAAGAACGTGATTGTATGAATTTATTCCTAGCTGCATTTTAATTTTGCCTATGAAAAATTGAAATTTCAATTCTGCCCAAGCTATGTCTAGGCAAAATTGAAATTCTAATTTTGACTGGGCAAATTTAAAATTTGCCTGAATTTCAATTTTGCCTACAACATATATATACGCTTAATATTCTCCATAGAATTTTCTTAAGTAATATTGATAGTGATATTATAAATTTCGAATATGATTAATAGAAAATGTTTAGACTCGACATGCAAAATCTGTACTATAATTGTAATACGAAAATATAATTATGTAATACATAAAACTTTGTAGAACTATACTCTTCTTTTGAGGATTATTCAAATAAGAAACCATTCATCTGCATTAATTCATCATGTTTGCAATATGATGAATAATTATAAATAGTACATATCATAATAGGTTTTCTTTATTTCACATTTATATTTTGAAAGTATAATCTAGTCAATTAGACTGTCATCATCATGATCATAAACAAGATATAGTTGAAGTTTATAAGTTGTCATGTTCATTCTAGTGATTGTACTAAATTCAAGATATCTTGCTACTAGCATATCATAGAGAAATTTAATAGATCTTTCGTACTTGACTATAAAATGCTTCTAAATGTTCAATCTAAAAATGCTATAAAAACTGAACAGAACGAACTAGTGGCATAACCAGGATTTTCCAGTATCCTTGATCTCTGTTAGAGAGCATAGGTCCCAAATGATGAGTTTCTATCGGAAAAAATTTTGAATCAGAATTTGCAAAAAAAATTAGCATTTTCCTGATCCCTACGAGAAAATGTTTCACATCTTTAATGATATATCATTTTCAAGAATGCCATCGAAAGCTATATCAAATTTCATTTAAAAAAATTCATCCGTTCAGAAGTTGTGCATAGTTTTCAATTCCTGGTGAAATTTTTTTTCGAAACGTCTCGAATCTTAAAAACGTCATAACTTATGAACGGATCAACTTTCTTAAAATGAAATTTCATGTAGCTTTCGATGGCATTCTTGAAAACGATATATCATTAAAGATGTGAAACATTTTCTCGTAGGGATCAGAAAAATGCTAATTTTTTTTTGCAAACCCTGATTAAAATTTTTTTCCGATAGAACTTCATCATTTGGGACCTATGCTCTCTAACAGAGATCAAGGATACTGGAAAATCCTGATTACACCACTAGAACGAACATGAAAAGGTACTCTACTGACAACGGGCCCCATAGACGAGCATCTTGAATTTAGTGCATGAGCCCGTTGGGTTAGTTTCGAATTCGATGAATTCTATCCGCCTGAGAAATGTATAGATGTGCGAGTCGCCGAATACAAAAGAATCGAAGAAAAAATAGATTTATGGTCATTAGAAGATGAATTTTTCTATACTGACATCTTGAATTGTCTCACTTCGTCAATATATCTGTATTCCGTTCGTTCTTATAGCGTCATCTATGAAACTTTTTCATGGATCATTGCAAATATAATCTTTGTTTGTTTGTTTTTTTCTTTGAAAAGTATTTCTTAATGAATAATCTAATCGAAAATCTTTGATAAAGTTTTAACTAAATTAGTTTTTTTGTTTCTTCATTTGTTAATAATCTATTGGATATATTGAATCATTCAATTGTCATATTAGAACAAGTTCTTTTACTTTTTTGTTCTTGTTTTTTTTTCTTTCTACATTTTTAGAATAATTTAATCGATTAAATCTTTCTTAAAATCTATAATGGTAATCAAAAAACAAAAACATTAATTATATTTTTATCAAATTTTATTTTTATTGCTTTTTTAGTTTCGTAATCAATACGATCATGATGTTAGCATTTGGAGTCCTCAAGTAATAAAATTTATTATTATTCTTTTCTTAATTAATATATATATATTTAGGGACGACTTTATCAAATTGAATATGCTATGGAAGCAGTTAAACAAGGTGCAGCTACAGTAGCAGTTAAATCTAAAACACATGTTGTTCTTTGTGCTTTAAAAGTAAATTTAGTGTTTTTTTTGCATAATTAAATGTAAAAATATTACTTTTATATTTTTAGCGAGCACCATCAGAATTATCAGCTCATCAAAAGAAAATTATGTTTATTGATGATCATATTGGTGTTTCAATTGCTGGATTAGCATCTGATGCTCGTATACTTTGGTATTAAAAACAAAAAAAAAAAAAAAAAAAAATTTTTGCTACAGAAGAAAAAAAAAACATTTTCTTTTTTCTTGTTTGCCTCTAGTCGATATATGCGTACTGAATGTATTAATCATCAATATGCTTTTGAGAAGCCAATGCCAGTTATAAGATTAATGGATCATATTAGTAATAGTAAGAAAAAAAAAAGAATCATCGTTTTTTATGTTTTTTTACATATGCTTTTTGAATGACTTTTAAGAATGTCAAATACCAACTCAACGTTATGGACGTCGTCCATTTGGTGTTGGTTTTCTTATGGCTGGTTATGATGTATGTTTATATTTAATTTTTACTGAAAAAAAAACCAAATGAAAAATTATATTTTCAATAGGAAAAAGGTACACATTTATATCAATTATGTCCATCGGCTAATTATTATTCATGCAAATCAATGGCTATTGGTGCACGTTCTCAATCAGCTCGAACATATCTTGAAAAAAATTTAGATAAATTACCTGATTCAAATCAAGATGAACTTATTAAACATTGTATGAGAGCATTACGTGATACATTACCTAATGAAGTTGAATTAACAATTAAAGTAAATGTTCAAAAAAAAAAATTTTTTTTTTGTTATTGTCAAAATACGATTTAAAAGAAGTTTAAGGATGTAATTTTGAAAATTTCTTCTAGAATTGAATCCGAATCAATTGAAAAATATTTTATAGATATACTTTTTTTTATTCTGATAAAACTTTGTGTGTTCTTATCATACTAATTGAAGGATTGTTTCATTTTTTTTTTCAAAAAGTACAATATAAACTGTATTACTTGAGCTAAATCGATGTCATACATTTTTTTGGTGAAAACGAAAGTTTAGGTGTTATGCGTCGTTCGAAAAGAAACATTAGATTTGTTTTAAAAGTTCATGAGAAAACTACTCGAACTGCTATTTATCATTCAAGGGGTAACAAAGATGCTTTGCTGAAGTTCGTGTTTATGAGTCGTCTACAGAGAACCTTTTCAGGTGGCCATTGCCGTTTTCAATGAAATTTCGTCTATAGATACTACATAGAGCCCTAGTAAAAATTCTAAAAGGGTTTGAATGCGAATCACTTCCTTCAAAATTTGTGGCCATTTTAACTGAATTTTCGACACATTCTTAGGTATTTATCGAAAAAATCAAATTATTGAATTTCAACCTGCAATTTTGTCCATAGATAGGTCTAATGATCTTTAGAATATTCTGAAAGTTTCAGCGTAAAAGAATATTCCTTTCTCGAGATGTTGAGTTCTCAAAAAATAGTTGCTTGTCATAGATAGATCAGTTCACTTGAAAACTCAATATCTCGAGAAAGGAATATTCTTTTTAGCTGAAACTTTCAGAATATTCCAAGGGCCATTAGACCTACCTATGGATAAAATTGCAGGTTGAAATTCAATAATTTGATTTTTTCGATAAATACCTAAGAATGGGTCGAAAATTCAGTAAAATGGCCATAAATTTTGAAGGAAGTGATTCGCAGTCAAACCCTTTTAGGGTTTTTACTAGGACACTATGTAGTATCTATGGACGAGGTTTCATTGAAATCGGCGGGGAGCACCTGAAAAGGTTTCCTCGTTAGTTCTGATTATTATACTGAACTTTTGAACTAGCTTTAATTATTTACTGAAAAAACAAATAACGTAATCTCATGCATAAGTAGGTCTAATGACTCTTAGAATATCTCTAGAGTTATCACACCTATCTATGAACCAAATTTCAGATTGAAATTTCGTTATTTGATTTTCCGATAAATATCTAAAGTTAGATCGAAAAATAAATAAAGTAATTATAACTCGACTCCAGTGACCTATTGGTATTAACCCTATTAGGATTTCTCTAGTCTTACCAAGATTCCTTTTATGAACCCGATATAAACTCAAATCATTCCACTTAATCAATTAGTACAATAGATAGAATAAAATAATCTTTATGTGATTAGCAGCAATAGGAGAGCTATATCATGTTTTACATTTTAATCCCATAGGACTTGCACTAAAAGCTTTTTACATTTTAGAATTGTGCTGTAGCTGTTGTTGGTAAAGATACACCATTTGCTATATTAGATGATGCTCGTATTGCAACATATTTAACAGCAATTGAAGGTGATGAACGTGCACCACAAGCTCAAGATGATACATTAGTATGAAAATAAAAGAAGAAAAATAATTTGTTAATATTTTGAGTTTTGTTTTTGTTCTAGGTTACTGGTGATGATAATCTTCCTCCTCCACCACCTGATAGTGGACCAGAACCACGAGTTGTTGTTGCAACAGAACGCATGGAATCATAGACTAATTGAAAAAATATTCTATTGAAATTTTTATCACAAAAACTTTAAATTTCGTTGTCTGTTAAACAGGAACAAAACGTTTTCTTTTTCTTCTTTCTTTTTCTAGATTAATTTGATTTATTTCATTTGGTATAATAGATATGTCGACATTAGATGTAAGATAGACTTATTTGATTTAAAAGAAAAGAAGAGAATAAGATTTTACATATATATATATATATATTTCTTAGACATTAGCATCACAAATTCCACAAGAATTACGTGTTAAACTTATGCAACATTTTGGTATTGCAAAAGAATATGAAAAAAATCCAGGAATGATTTCAATAACATATTATTGTTTAATGTATATTGCAAATGAAGCACTTAAACTTCAAAAAGATAAACAATTTGTTTCAAATGTACTTGATTATCTTGAAGCAGTATGTATTAATAATTTCTTTTTTTCTTCAAGACTTTTCTTTTCGAAATATTTTTTTTGTTAGACTTCTTTCGATTAAACAACAAGACAAAAGCCTAAAATACTTATAGTTTATCTATGGAAAAAGAGTAGGATGCGTGTTGTGTTCGCTGGCTAGACGAAGATTCACGCTCAAGGACCTTTTTGTCATATGTATGTTGTAGAAGAAGTTGAGAAAATTCGCAAAGTAAACATGCTTATATCTATCGATTCAGACATTCCATTTAGCTATTGTTTATGTAGTCTTAAAAAATCAGCGTTAGTGACGCAGAAATTATCTTATAACTGAATGAAAATTGAAAAAACAAAATCTAAACGATACAAATTCGTCTTGAGAATTATGAGATGATGGTATAACAAAAGATCTCATTCTGCGACAATTATAGACCTCTGGAAAATTGATAGTGAGAAGGTAATTTTGTTTTGCTAAAAGTTTTATGATAAATATAATTTATGTTGTTAAATTTATTCTGAAAGCTCAATAGTTTGGCCACACTCACTAAATACTTATCTCAAGGTCGAGAGAACATTGACAATGAGTAACTTTTTTTTTCTTTGAGGAGATGAGGAAAGATGTAATTAACTATGACGCTCAAGTGCTACTGTGAAGTAGCAAACGACGGAACTATTATGGGTTGAAGATAAAAAAAAGGATTTGCCTCACTGTTTAATAAGTGACAAGAAAGAAAGAGGAGATGACAATCAATAAGAGATGGGCAGCTCCGACGAAAATTGGTGAATCCAGCGCCCCAAGACAGATTATACATACGTCGAATTTAACATCATTCGACGCAGAAATGTTTGCCCTTTCTAGCTATGTATTTAGCTTGGCCCTTGTCTTCCATTGAAAAGAGTATTCATTGAAACAAAGTTGTTGGAGCGGGAGCTGAGTTCGACCGGCTCCGACGACTTTGTTTCAATGAATACTCTTCTCAACGAAAGACAACAGTTAAGTTAAATATATAGCTGGAAACAGCAAACATTTCCTGGGTCGCTGGTTCACCAACTTTCGTCGGAGCCGGCAACCGGAGCTGCCCATCTCTGGATGAGAGCATTCTAGAATATGGAAAATATGAAAGAATAAATGATTGAATGAAACAGTTTACAAGAAATTTAACAATTGAAAGAATGTGTGTGATCAACGAAATAAATCAGAAACATGAACAAAAAAAAAGCATTTGTCTTGAAAAACTTATTATATCTATTATTTAATAACTTATTACATGAGATTAATATCGATATTTTTTTTTGCAATTCATTGTTTATGTGGATTTCATATCTATTGAATGTAACTAGAATTGATCGATCAGACAGACTTAATCTAATGATAAAACAAATCTTTTTTTTTTGTCTCAATTTAGACAAAACGAAATAATCCAAATGATGAAATAATTAAATCTATGTCAACTGGTCAAGCAACAATTGAAGAATTAATAAGTGTACTTGTTACTGAAGCAAATGAAGCTGAAGATGATGAACATAAAACATCTGAACAATTACGTTTACTTATGAGAAAACATTATACTGTTGGTGGTTTAGCAGATGTTCTTTCTGTATTTGGACCAGTTAAAGATGATGTAAAGATTAATTAAACAATACAAATATTTAAATTTATTTTCTTTCATTATTTTTTTTTAGTTTATTACATTAGGTAAAATTGCTAAAAGTCGAGCAGTAACAATTTTTCGTGATTTAAAATCTGGCGCTGGCAGTACTGGTCCATCATCAACAATGAAACCTCGTATGTAGAAAAAAAAAGAATCTTTAATAATTATTTCATATTTATTTATATAATCGTTTAGCTGATAGTCATATTGATACTAGTGGTCATATTGTTTCACCATCGAAACCATCAGAAATGCCATCATCAAATCCAGCTTCATCGTTTTATAATCAAACTACAAGTAATAAAGGTAAAATAAATGAAACTACAAAAAAAAATATTCAATATTTTTGTTTTTTGTTCTAGATGTTCCACTTGATGTTATATCACAATCACAAAAATTACTTCGTTATGCTAATTCAGCTTTAGAACATGAAGATATAGCTACAGCAGTTTATAATTGTGAACAAGCATTGCAATTACTTCAACCATATAATCATTAATAATGAATGTGGATATTCTTTTTTTTTTTTTTTGAACTAAATTTTTTTTCTAATCTGTTTATCTTAACTTTTCTCTTTTATTGAGCTATAGATAAGTTGTAGAATGCAAAAATAACATCAATATTTTTATTCTTTTCTCGAATAAAATGGGCAGATTTCTAAAGTTTGTGGTAGATTTTTTTTGTTCTTTTCTCCGGTGAAAAATAAATATATATCTATTCCTGAATTGACACGTCATGAATGACTCATGTTTATTTACTCATTTTTCTCCATATATGACTCATTTGTTTTCATCATATATATATATGTTTATAGATTTTTTTTAATATATTTTCATACATTATTTAACCATGGCACAAAGTCAACAATTATTAGAAGAAATTGTTCTACCCGATGAAATTCAACGTTATAGAATTGTATATGAAAAAGCTAAAGAAGCAAATCAAGTAACAGATCAAAATAAATTTTCATATGCTTATTGTCTTGTACGAAGTAAAGTTAAAGTTGATATACGTTATGGTTTACAATTATTAAAAGAACTTTATGATTCAACAAGAAAAGATGATGCTAAAAGAGATTATTTATTTTATTTAGCACTTGGTAAGATATTCATTTCATGATTAAAAAAAAAATAATAATAAAATTTTTTTTTTGTTTTTGATTTATTTCTATTTAGGTAATGCTCGATTACATGAATATGAAACAGCATTAAAATTTCTTGATGCTATTCTTCATGTTCAACCGAATAATTTTCAAGCAAAAAATCTTAGAGACGAAATAACACAACGCATGACTCGTGAAGGATGTATGATGATATCATATCTTATTACAACAAACATTTTCTTTCTTCTTCTTTTTTCTATTTATTTAGATATTGGTGTTGGTATTGCTGTAGGTGCAGGAGCACTTCTTGTTGGAGGTAAAGAATTGAACAATTTATAAATCTAACAAGGATCTATCAGAGATCAATTGACTAGATTTTGGATTCAAACTTTATTAGGGTTTTTTCAGTTTTACTAAAAATTGTTCATAGGTATAATATGAAGTTTAGTAACATTTAGGTGTTAAAAATTAAACAAATGGGTAATTTCTGTTTATCTCCATGGTAATTTTTTCATATATAAAAAAAACCAAATGATAATGCGAATGGCAACTATTCTCATGATGCTATCAATTCATCATATTAGTCTTCTAGATACTTTTACAAAGAGTATTTTATTAATTCCGATAGTCCCAATGATCCATTGAAATTTCATTTTTTCTTTTTTTTTTTTTTTTTTTTTGTTAATAAAACTTTTTTCATTTAGGTCTTACTGCTGCTGCTATTGCTCTACTTAAAAAATAAATCGATACATATATCATTGGATTAAATATAACGTGTATTATATCACAAAATAAAATAATAGGTCGCAATATAAACACATATAAAGTCATTGTTTTGTTGTTTATGCTTTAATAAAAATATGAAAATATTTTTATTTTTCATACAAACATTAATAAAATAATATATGATCGTCTTCTCATTACAGCTATTTATTTTTGATCCAGTATTTATAAATTAATACGAGATAATGTTAAATTTTCTGTAAGATATGAAAGTTTTTGAAACAATCGGTAATACACAGTCCAACATCACATTCCGTACAGTGGTAATGCGTATCCTTTTGTTTCCTCGCACGTCGTTCAATAGTGTCGCAAACGTAACATTTTCTTAAAGGACTCTAATTGTTTTCATTGGAAGGAATTAGAGACGGAAAATGTCTGACTATCAATCGCAATGGATGAGCTCTCAGTGGTCTGTCAACATGTGACCTCTTAGCGCAATACTTTGCAACGAGTTTACAAATAATTCCTATACGTATTCCTTTTTTGAAGCATGACTCTAAAACATGCCATTACGAAATGATGGTATCGCCTAAGGGTGCACCAATTCCAATTCTTGGCTTGGAATTGACGGAATTGGTAGGAATTGGAATTGGAATTGGTTGGAATTGGTAGGAATCGGTTCGAATTGGAATTGGAATTGGTCGGAATTGGAATTGGAATTGGTTAGAATTGGGTGAAGTCACCTAAAAATCTTATGGAACCGGGTATTACTAATTTATGCAACCAGCACAACCACCCAACTTTGTA